GCCGCATCTAATTGTACTTTGCAAATAGGAAACTCAAAGGCTCACGCCTATTTCTCTCAATAAACTGAACTGAGCAGGAAATATCATCGCAACGTGTCATGGATGCAAAAATCCCATGGGGACATCACATGTTATTAAACGATCGTTTATAGTCATTGAAGAATACCATTTCAAGAACATTTATGACACTTTCGTCCGACTTTACCAAGGATATGGTACAAAAAGCGTGGCAGATATAGCTGAAAAAAGACAAAATATGCCTCGAGTGTGTGCATCGTCGGGCAACAAAGCCAGCTATAGGTCATAAATACGGATCTTATCTATAAGGATTGGGACGTCTTAATGTATGCCCGCCGTGTTACAGGCGGCAAAGACGTAACTATACACTCGGTAAACTAAGTCATGAAGCGCTCCCAACCTTAGTTACACTCCAAGTGCAAATTGAATGCGATTTTATCTGTTTTCGAGCAGAAATTGAATAGCAAAATTCGAGGATAGTATTTGATCTAATGGCTGCTACCTATCCTCATAGAAGATTGTATCTTACATTATGCAAGCGCCTACTCGCTTGTAAAATGTCAGTTCAGTTCAGTTTGATGTGAAAAATAGACCCGAGCCTTTGAGAATCCTATTTGCAACATGAAATGTGGTCCGGTGTACAGGGAAAATATGTGGGCTGTAATACTTCAAACTGGCACATAATGACATGACAAGATGGGACTGAGTTTTGGGGAATGAGCTGGATCTGTCATTGCTCTCGTTTGTTTCAGAACAAAAATATGGCCGGACGATATACCGGCTAAATTCTTGAAAGAGTTAGCGAAGGAACTCTTCAAACCACTATCACACATCTTTCGTTTGTCCTTCGAATTAGGGAGGCTGCCATCCGAATGGCAGGCAGGAAAAATCTTTTCGAAATACACGGATTGGGGATCACACTAATGCCAAAAGTCACCGGCATGTAAGTCTCACCTACATCTGCTAGAAAATAATGGAAGTCATAATTACGAAAGGAACTGTGATTTTCCTGAAGCAGAACCACTCACTCTTAGCGTTTAAGCACGGCTTCACACAGAGCCGCTCGTGCCTTTCCAATTAATTGCTATCAACTCTGCAGTGAATTCGTGAACTAAACCTGTTTCTTCGCAGTTGCAGGCAACTGCGCGGCGGTCTCATTTAAGCTACCGGATTGTCAGAGGCCGTGAGTGTGTCGTAGACCTCGGCGACTTCTCGAATTGGCCGGGACGGACCGTCTGCGTGGTCATCCCTTTAAAGTGTAAAGGAGTAGAATAGAGGTCGTTTATTAGAGCGCCCCTTGGGCATTATCAGTCCATTTTGACTCAGGAAATAACCCAAACCAAACTCATCCATTTCGACTGCACTTTGATTTCATTTGTTTTGGGTGTCTGTTTAGCGAAAAGTGCGCGAATTGAGAGGAAGCTGGCCCATACAGAAGTCCGACGGGACGCCTTGTCACAGAGGGTTATTGGAACACGGAATGGGCTTCCTGTTGCTGTGGTTCTGTCTGAACCTGTTGAATCCTTTGAGTGCAGACTAGACTTTCATCTGCCGAAAACCTACTGTACATCCATTCAGGATGGATTTAGCCGCAGCAGTTTGCGCCTGGCTCACACTTACTGATAAATTTTGAATTTCCAGGTTTGCTCATGTACCAACTGAGTCTATTGCTGCTTATCGACATGAATGGGGAGCTCAGGGGCGAAAGCCTCATTGTGACTTAGACTGACAAGGTGCTCTTTATAGCCTTATATCGATGGTGACATCACAGCATCAGCAGGTAGGGATTTCCATGGTTTGACCACGATAAGACGACTGAGAAGGTCAGTGTAGTATACGTACATAAAAATAGGAAAACCGCAAAAAGGAAGATTATCATCAAGTATTCAGTGTGCTATAATGATCTACATTCAAGTACGATTAGTTGTGTCAGCTGCCACAGGATGCTCTCTGTCCAGGCAGATGTTTTGTTCATTTAAAAGTCGGCAGTATACTAAAGCAGCTACCAAGAAATTTTATGGCACCTAATAAATTTGATAGTTGTTTTTTATTAGTGCAACTATTGTTCTAAAGGATGCACTAGTAAGTATCGTCGGCAGGTTGAATCGAGGAGACTTTTGACAGCGTTTCTGCAACTGGTCGTAAGCCTTTTTGAAGACATCATTAAGAGACTCCTTGGACTTCTGACAATACAATCGTTGGGCCACATTTCGACGACTAAAAACATCTGCGTCAGTGCAAGTTAATCGTTATAAGAAGTTCATCCTACTCAAAACGTCGTATATTTTAGAACTGTAAAATGTTTTCCCTAGATTGCTTACCGTAGAAGGCAATCCATTGGGCTATTTCCTCCGCAAAGACTGCATTAAAATATAAGCACCAAAAGTGGTCGTTCGGTCACCAACAAACGAGGACAAGTACGACTTCTATGTACTGCCAGTCCATAAAAAAATTACATATTACATGCGGCCGAAGTATGTCCTTTACAAGAGCTGCAGAAAACTGGTCAATATTCTCAACTATTGAGATCTGACTAAATGGAGTGCCAAGTTGAGCAGCCACTACATATCCGGCCGCATGACTAATATCTACTGCTCTACGCCAAGAAAACACAGCAGCAGGTATTGCAATATTGGCATTATCCATCGTATTTGCTTTCTCTGATACCCTTTCACGTAACGTCGACTCACCTGCTATTTTAGTAGTCGGACGGTCTGAACAATCCGACGCACTGCGAGAATCCATCATTGATTTACTAGTGTCACACTAAGACGATGACTCTGTATCAGAGACGAGCTGGCCGATGTTCGCTGATATTTCTAGAAATATCACTGACCTCACGCTGTACGCGGTGTTCGGTACAATTCAGTATATACATATAAGGCAGGTAGGTAGAGCCTTTGAAAATCCTTTTTAAAAACAGCCAGAAAAAGCGTGCACATGGTTATGCAAACAAAGGGATACACTATATCAGTTCTTGCCAAAAAAATATATGACCAACATATAAAATACTATCAAGTCTTCGTTTAAATATCTGAACGTTTTCTGTCAGAACAACCGAATTGGGTAGTTTATTCCAACTTAAAGCATTCAGTGCGAGAAGAAGTTAACCCTTACTTCAAGTCTGACATATTTTGTCTTTAATTTCTATTTGTGCCCTAGGAAATTTATCGCTTGTGCTTTTACAAAGAAATCGGCCAATTAAAGTGCAAATTTCACTCCTCTCATGAGTTTAAAGACTGCGATCATGTCCCCTGTGTATTTCAGATAAAAGAGAGGGCAACGTTTGGGCCCATCTAGTCGTTTCTCACGAGGTAGCCGCTCCATCATAGTTGCAGTCACCTAAACCTGGCGTGAATGCGAAGAAAGCCGGTTCGTTCCAAAAATTATTTGTCCAGGTTCTCGTCCAGCCAGCTCAGTTTTAATATCCGTCGAATGCAAGTGAGGTACAAGTGACTGGGTTTTCGCGTTTGTTTCTCGTAGACTGTTTAGGTCTCCGTGGCACACAGCAGGGTCGTCAATATGACCACTTTGTGCATCTTCGATTCGGTGTCCGGGTGAACTAACGATTCCATACGAAGTTCCGCAGCCGACTGATGTCATGGCTGACTTTGAAGACCCGATGAGCCCAATCGTCGCCGATTCTTATGTAGTGTGAGTGTGTGTTACTTAAACAGGCAAAATCGTCCGCGGTCCTCATTTGAGTGCTGTTGACGTGGATGGGAGGAGCACTGTATTCGGCGCTGGCTGATGACTGTTACGTGACATTTGTTTTGCCCCTGTTCGTGGTCAGCCCCAAATCGGCGGAATCGGAGGCGAAGAGCCTTGTGGTCCGTTGGATGTCAGCTTCTGTCGGTGTGTTGAGTGGGCAATCACCAGCAAGAAGCAGGCCGTGGACAGTAGGTGTGGAGAGACACGTTGAAGCCTGCACGCACCCTACTGTTTAAATATCTGTCGGTCCTGTACGCGATGCGGATCCCGGGACGCTCATCGCGGTATGCGCCCATCAACATGGCAGAAAACATGAGGCTGAAGAGGGTAGGGGCGAGTGAGTACACCTTCTTTACTCCGATAATTATCGCACATGCTTCAGAGACGATCCCATTGTCCGTGACGCTAACCGTCATCCCCTCGTGGAGCTGACGCACCATGTGCGTGAATCGCCCGGGACAGCCGAATTTCTGCATTATTTTTACAGCGTGTCGCCATGTACAATTTCGGAGGCTTTCGTCAAGACCACGAAGGCAGTGTGTGGGTTGGTCCGCATTTTCAGACACTTCTCTTGCAGCTCACAGACAGAGATAATATCGGTGGTTCCACATTGAATCTGGAATGGAATCGAATCCTTACGGACATTCCGACCAAGGTGCCTGCTCGAGATGTCCGTAAAACGTTAGGGAAGGATGCGAACGAAGATCTTCTCGACGATGTTGGGCAGTGAGATTCCCCTGTGATTACCACAGAACTGTCGGTTTCCCTTCTTTTTGTAGAGATAGACAATTGTCGCCTCCTTGAAATTCTGGGAAGCTTGCCCTCGGGCCATATTTCCTGAAAAGGCATTATGAATTTATCAATGAACAGGAGAACGCCGTGCTTGTAGACTTCGGTTGGGATCGCGCCAAATCCTGATGCCTTCTTATGGACAGCTGGAGCACAGTTCGGATTTTTCATGCGGGAGAAGGCACCAGATTCATGTCATTGTTTTGTTCCATCCGAGGAAGATGGTCAATAGAGACGTCATATACTGAGGACGGAGTGGTTGAGAACTCTTCCAAAGTACTCGTTCAACGCACCAAACTTCGTAACTTTCATGTCAGACTCGTAATTTCCATTGGGATTGAGGAACGGCTCAGTTCCTTTGGTTTCGGGGCCGTAAATCGTCTTGAGTTAGGCGAAAATTCTTTGGTTTAATTGCGGCCGGCATAGCCCGAGATTTCCTTAGCCTTGCGGATTATCAATATGTCCTGCATCTCCCGAAATCGCTACTGAACGTTGCGACGATAGCGGAAGAAGGCCGCCTCGTTGACGCTTGTCTGATAGTTCATGCGGGGCTTGTGCAGCCTGTGCTTTTCAATGGCCAGTTGGAGGATGTCTGCGACATTGTTGTCGAACAAGTCCTGGTGCTGACGACATGCGCTTCCGAGGACATCCAAGCAGTTCGAGTGAATATCATTCCGCAGTTGACAGCACCGAGGCGTTATCGACCAGCGCTGAGAGCTGCTCCAGGCGTTGGGCAAACTGATTGCCGAAATACAAGCTGCAAGCAGGTGAGTAAGGTAGGACAATGTTCAAATCCACAAATTGTCGTCAAACTTATGGCCTCTTGAGAGGTTGCAACCGAATTTTCGTCTTAGAGACGACGAGGCAGCGATCCGTCCAGCCGTCGACTTCGCAGGCAACCTTGGTCACCAGCACGTCCGAATAAGAACGTAATACAGGAGCTGGCAGCCCGCGACCAAGAGCATCCATGTCACCTTCTTCCGCGTCGGCTAGCGGAAAAGGGCCTTTGTCAGGGAAGGCAATGTTTTGCGCATGTTCGTAAGGGGAAGGAGGCCGATGTTGTTGCGGAAGCTTTTCCGCTGGCCCCAGCACTCCCCTCCGGGAGCGCAGGCTGTCCCGACGCGGACATTGGAGTCACTAAGGACAACCAACCTGTAAACCCTCGACTCACTTGTCAGGAGAATGTGCAAGCCTTCGTAAAACTTGATCTTTGTATCGTCATAGCTAGTCGTTGGTGTCTTAGACACTGACAGTGGTGGCGAATTTGGCTCCCCAAGCGGCAGGTGTAGACTCATAAAGCGGCTGTTGACGCCATATGACAGGCAGGACAGTCGTCCCACATTGTCGTTGCGAATGGCAGAGGCGACGTCTGCGTCACGTTCCGCTTTCTTTGGGCGGCCGCTCCAGAAGGTGTAATCGGCATCCACCTCCTCTTGACAGCCTTATTCGGAGAACCGGATTTCCACCGATGTCCACCTTGTAGTGCGCTGGTTCTCGAACGACTAGCGCCGTCCTCCTTTCCGGCTGACTGGTCCTCAGGAGACGAACATTCCAGGCTGCCAAATGGATTTGACACTCTTTAGCAGCCTCTGGGTTGGTGAGAGGGTTGGTGATGTGGCCTGCTGTTTTTGTTTTGAACGTAAGTTGTCCGTCTGCAAGTTATGGCCTGCGTGCAGATAACTTAGTTCCAGCATTCGTTCGAGACACATCTTCTGGACCTACCCCTGCCAGTTCGTAAGCGCTATGCACAACTAGGATTGCTTAAATAACCCAGACGGCTGTCAAACTCCATCATATGCTCATGGTTTGATTTAGTGGGATGGCGACCAGAGATAATCTGGGCCGCCTACAGTATCGCATGTCGCCCTCTCCGCGGGACCTTAGAAGTGGAAAGGGAAACTAGAGGAAGGACAGGGTGGGCATGGGATAGAAGGAAGGACTGGGGGGAAGGAGAGGAGGAGAATGAAGCGGAGTAATTGTGGGGAGACATACGCAGCAGCGGACACCCTCAGTTGATATATCCCACCAGTGGAGGTGGTTATCGAAGTGTGGCCACTAGGTGGAACCTTGCTTCTAGGAGCCACAGCTGAGAATGGGGTGCCAGTAAGGGGACTTTAGGAGTAGCCGTCATCTGCACGAGATAAATGAGGAGACTTGCCACGACCTTGACGTGGAAGTCAAAAATAGACACCTCGACACCCGATACGCTCTTACACACTCTGAAAAAGGGACGGAAAACAAAAGGCGGAACAAGGGACAAAGCGAAAGACAACGGTTGAGACTGCGCATAGAGGTGTGATAGAGCAGGCACTGATCCCCGGGAGTACGCGTGCAAATTCGATTCCCCCGTCAGATCAATCGGCTTGTCGTAATGCATGCAGTCGTTTATGTCCTTAATAACGTGAGCTCTGCGCACTTGCCAACCAGCCAATCAGCCCGTTCGACTACACGGCAAAAATTTGAGCTCGAATCGCGGTGTCTTGTTATAAGGATAAGTCAGCGGTAAATCAGTGGCCAACTTAAAACCCGTTTGAACGTAGCTGCCAAAACGCCAGACCATAAAGGAAGGGTATCCAGCTAAATAAAAAGGCAAAATAAGTAGCACAAATATTATTTTGTTGATTAGAAAGAGTCTTTTGCAGAAAACGCAGAAATATCGGATACGCGAATATTCCTGTCATAAGAGAAGGCTCAAATTTCAGAAACATATAATGCTTTCCATGCAAATAACCGAGCATATAAAACAGTTCAAGCACCTCAACAATCGAAAATTAGTCTATAGATATTTTCATTAAACATCCTCCAAGAAATACTGTTATATGAAACCTGGAAATCAGTTATGTGTAGCAAGATCATGTCACACAAAATCGATATGACTTTCCACTTTATATCATTCGAAATGTGGTCAATTTATACAAAGAGGATTTCGTTTGATACCCGTGATACGGACGTTAGAAGCAGAAAATTTACCACATGGCCTTCAATAAAGGCAGCATTTCGAGGACACGCGTCAGTGACACCTCTTGCCTCATCGTATGGCATTTTCAAGGCCTGGTGCGGAAAGTCATCTGAGGTACCAAAGATGTCTCATGGTACGCATAGTCTTGCGAGTTGTAGTTTCAACAGTTATTTAGAGGAGAACGAACTTTGAGTTAAATAAGAACGGGACGAACGGTAAAAATTCCAAATTTTGAGGGCAGTATTTCAGTGAAAGTCTACGAGGAAGTTAATTCCTCGCCCACCCTTTAGCAACGCATTCTAGACTGCCTCACATACCACGACAGAACTCGCACAAAACTCAGTCATAACACTCGGAGCTATCCAATGAAATTAAGTAACAATGGGGTCATCGCAAATTTCGAGGGAGGGTTGGTTACGCCCCAACCCCACCCCAAAATTTAATCGGTGGACAGAAGTATCTAATCGCATAGCGTTTAACTTATTTGATGTTCGTTGTCCTTGCGGGCACTCGTGTGATTGCGACTGAAGCCTCATCTGGGAGACGACATGATGATGGTCTATCCAGCAGTCGACACCGCTACTCGCTTTAGTCAAGTGTACGCCACGTTAATTACGCCTCCAAACGAGAACGGAGCCCAGCAGCTGCCAGTGGCGCGAGCGAGAGTGCATCATCATCATCATCATCATCATCATCATCATCATCATCATCATCATCATCATCATCATCATCATCATCATCATCATCATCATCCCTCAGATCCGTAAGGTGAAAAATGGGTTCCGGGTAAATTTGTTCTCCGCAGGCCTGCTGGAGGAAAAGGTTTTGTTGGGGAACTTACAAGCCAAGTCATGCTCCAGCAGACATTGAAGCTCCCGGACCGGTCGTCCTAGAACGTCGTCCTCGATGGCAACCGCGACTCCAGCATCTAGTTACGCTGCCTTTGGACGTCGGTTATAGATGATATTGCCGCCAGCGCATGTTTCCCGGGTTGACTTTGTTGTTCGGAAACCCCTGCTTTGCCGTAGCGTACCACTTCGCGGGCGATTTGAGCTGTCGTCCTTTCTGGTCAGCTGGCCAGAGGGTTGTCTAAAAGCGAAACGAAATTTGAGGTATTGAAAGACTGACTCGCAGGAGGACGTGGATGCATGGAGACATGATTTATGGTCGCGTACGTATGTCTGACCTCATGTTTCGCGTCCACTAGCAACGGTCAATTTGCTGACGGCGTAGTTACCCAGCACATTCCTTTGGCAAAATTTCCAACCCTACCATCCGTGAGGGGATAGGCTATGCTCTTCATACACAGAACTGTTTAGTTGTCGCAAGCGACTAGCAAATTCCATTAGGAATCACGACTTTGGTTAATCGGCATATGGCTCGAATGGGCCTGGGCCACATACGGAGATCACTGACGGTCACTTGATTGGACTTTCTGTTTAAAGTAAAAATGTTTGGACGTAAGACAAAACTAATGGATGCGGAAACACATTGAATACCCTCAGCTCGATTAGCCCGTAGGTCAAAGCGACTGCCATATGTGGCTGCTAGTAGCACATTGTTTCGGAAAGCCATAAATGAGAAATGGGTGCCACTTAAGGGTCTGTCGAAACGACGACCACGTTCATCGGGTCAAATGAACGACACACCACTCCTACACCATGTATCACCTGACTGAACACCCCATGCATCCTACGTGCATATATACTTTATAAATAGGTCATATTTATCCAACCGCTATCAAAAGGGGATTGTTGGTCATTGTTACTCGAAACCCCACCGACTAAAGGCCGACATGTTTCAAGAAGTGGATTCTTGGTCCGCCACTTTTCGGCTTTGCATTAGAAGTAGTTCACCAGCATTGTGACAAACGTAGGCGTCCTTTCACATTTCTGATCTTAATTGCATCTGTCAGTTTTCTACAGACACTGGAGATATCTGCATTAAAAAATCACTTAAGACATGCCTTTTTCGCTGCATGGACTTCGACTTACTAAGGCTATTTTCTTTATTCAATTTAAGGTGCACATTAACGTCTCAAGTAAATTTCCAGCTCAGATGGTCATCCAAAATAAATGACTTAATAAATGCCGTAAAATTAGAAGTCTAAGCATACGGAATGGTTGTAATTTAGTCCGTTTTTGCCCAAAAATATCGCTTCTTGAACTATCCCCGATGTACCACAGCAGAGATTAGCATACAAAGTTACTCAGGGATTAGAAGAAGAAAATTGGCTCTCCGGAACCAAGGAGAATGCGGACACACTTCCTTCCATTCTTCTTGATTATCGTCTTGTATTTCTGTAAACGCAGATGGGAGTCGTTAAAAGGAACTCTTGTCATTTACCAGATAAATCGCATCACAACGTTTTCTGCCTATGACTATGCTAACGTGGACGTTATATCCTCCACGGGAAGCCCAAACTTGGTCAAAAATTTGGGCAGCTAACGGAACAGCTGCGGCTGCCACGGCGTGAAGCGTGTTTTAAAGCAAACTATAATGGCTCTTTCGATTTCATAGCAGCCATCGAATCCGGAATTGTGAGAATCGAAACGACCGTTGACAAGAAACCTTCTGTCCGACAGCGTGTCACCCCCTTCGGCCTTGTTTAATTTCCGTGAAAATTAAACAAGGCCAGGTAAGCAATGGACACCACGTGCCAGAAAACACATTGTGCACGCTAGGGGGTCCATTGATGGGATGAACCCTTCGCAGCTGCGTCGGCAGCAACACAAGATCGGCGAAACCCACGTGTCTAGGCATTTAGCTAGTAACTGTGCCTCATATATAGCAAATAATCACGTAGTGTCACCTCTTTGCTGAAGATGCACAGACTAACCTCACGTGTTCCGATGACTGGATCAAAAGCTATGAAGGAATTTGGAATGGACAAACAAGTTATCATTGTATCTGCCGATAAGGGACGATCAATTGTTCAACTAAGTCGAGAAGACTTCAATAAGAAAGAAAAGGCCCTACTCGATGACAAAAAAAGTTTACAGACCAGGACAGGACTCCAAAGCCAAAACGGTAACAAGTCAAATGAATACAATATTCAGAGGGTTCAACCGCCGAGCTGGGGTCATGGAAAAGGATAGGCGCCAAATGAAAGTGATGGATGTTGTCCCGGCTCGATTTTGTTGTCTGCCAAAGACCAATCTTTGTCCTAAAAGGCAGCCTTACTCATAATTTTGCAAAATCATTGTACACCAAACTGAAGTTTTTCCCCGAAAACTCATCCAAATCAGTTCGTCCAGTCTCGCAATTCGGAAGATTTGTTCAAAAAATCATGTTCTTTTTCGACGTGACGTCCTTATTCGCATCCATTCCACCGAGTCTGACAAATGAAGTCTTGCACAGGAAACTTAAGGTGTCAAGGACCAAACCCACGGCCCTCTCAAAATGCATCACCTCATAGGGCTGTTCGAATTTTGCTCAAAGATCTACTATGGTTTTGCAGGTGAAACCAATGAGCGGGTGGATGAAACATCGATTGGCTACCATGTTCCTGGTTTCGTGGCAGAACTGCTTCTAATTCAGCTGGAAAAAATGGCTTCATGCAGTAGACATCGATTTCTTGGCGCCGTTACGTGGACGACACTCTGTCACCTTCAGGAAAAAGAGACTGCAGCAGTTCCATAGCCAACTTAACAAAATCTTACTGCACACACATTCACGAAGGAAAAACACGAGTTGCCCCGTTCTTTATGCGCTCGCACGACGAAGTTTCAACTGCAAAATAAAAAGAACGAACAACACGGAGGCGGCAAACAATATCCACCTACCCAGTTTTTACAGCAACAACGCGATGACTTAAAAAAACGAAAATGTGTGAGAACGTTCTTCAAACTTCTCCAGGCTTATTGCAACAAGTGGCAAGAAAACGCACGCGAGTGCCGTATCTTCGCGTTCAGTCAATGAGGAAAAGCTCGCTGGAAACGTTCATAAGTCAATACTTACGCCTTCAGCACCGGAGGGTTTAGACAGAAACACGATTAATGGTATAGCATGCTGTGTAATTTATTACGGACGTCGAAACAGCAGCTGAGCGCATTGCTGTGGAAAAAGGCATCGGAAATGCGCTCCGACCTAAGGTTACCGTTCGCAACATGACTATGAAATTTAGGGACTGAATAAATCCACAGGAGCAGTCTGGTGTAGTACATTGCGACCCGTGCCTAAACTATACTTGTGATTACACAGATCAGACTATACGTATGCTCAGATCGCGCATGCACGAGTATGAGCTGGCTGTGTAACTGGATGACGGCTTATCCCAAGTGACTGTTCACGCCTACGTGACGGGTCACGGGTTTAACTTCGTCCTCGCCAGAATTGAGACAAGCCATGAATTGGTTGATGTCTAGGTCTCATATAAGAACTCAGTCAATCGATATATCGATCTGGCGGCGGCATACAGAGCCTCGAGTAGTCAAATCAAGACGCACGCAACCTGTCGTTGATTAGCTAATGCCCTCTTTAACCGTGGCTTGTTCTGCTGCAGCATTTATCCCTAACGATGGGCTCCTGCTCCAGATCGAAAAACCTAGCGTTAACTTGATGACTATCCATGCAGTTTAGTGTTTATAAGGTCGAAAGAGTTTGTCCCTGCAGCGATGTCCCTCGCGGCACTTAATCATTATTTCCTGAATTGGCTGAGTCTCTCATTTTATCTCGTATCCGTTGTAATGACCAGATAGCTGAGAGCCGTAATGGTAGCTCACACGTCTCATAAAATTAGATTTAGCAACTTCTTCTGGTTCTTCATTTTCTGCTTAATTTATTCGTTTTGAGTGTATACAAGTATCTGTAGTTAGGGCGGTTCAAGTCCGCCGTCGTTCTCTATCCTCCCATAAACAGCAGATTCATCGCATGAACACGCACACCTTTTGCATTTAACAAAGTATTTGAAGATTTAATGTTTTAAATGATATCCAAAAATCAGCATAGGGACATTTCTTGCTTCCCCTTTCTAAAATGAATGAATGTCCCTCAGTTCGAAAACGCATGCGTGCGTTGCCCAGTACGGCATTTCTCGTTATTCTGAATACAACTGACGTTTCGTATATGTTATCCACAGGTTCAAGGTTTCTGGAAGCTTATTTCCTTCCGTAACTAGTCCGCCCACGAGGACTCGATAAAAGTGCCATTTGGACATCTTTTCGAAGGGTATAAAATAGTTCGTACGCTTGACAATCTACGTTACTATTTCCCTAAGACCTGAACTGGTGATCATCTCGATAGCGCACTTGTGTCATATTGGAATTTACGGGCAATCCAGACAACTGCATTGATAGGTACTTCTTTCATGAAAATGTCACGGTAGGCTTAAGACTATGTAGAAGCCTTATACAGTTCACGCGTCTGAATGTCCGTTTTTGGACTTGGCAATACACATTTTGGTCATTATTGACTCTGCGACGGTGGATTCGATCTTTTTTGAGCCCTGACCTTGAAACGTCCGTAAGAAGGTCATATATTCCGCGGGGCTTAATCTCGTTTTGTTGAATCCGTTCTGCGTGAGTCAGTTCTTGGTTTTATGTTATGTGCTCTTCCTTCCATAAATATTGGAGTTTGTAGACTTTGTTGCCAGCATTTGACTTCTGCACACATGCATTCTTTCTACAAAGCCACTGTTCTTCGGAATCGAAGACTACACCTACATGCATGCATAAAAACTGCAGTTTTGACGTATTGTTCGGTGCCGAATACGAACGAGCGTTTCGCTTAATATGCTTGCATGTAAAATACATTTGCGCCTACACAACATATTCTGTGGTGGCAATTTTTAAATAGGACACCAGTCATAAGTATGACTGGTGCTCACCAAGCGTACGCTTGGTCAGCACCAGT